AATAAAAATGAAAAAATTTGTGGGGAGAGCAAATAGAAAATCGGGAAGTAAAAAAAAACAAAAAAAAAAAAAAAAAAAAAAAAAATAATAATATGGGCTAAAAAAAAAAGACCGAAAAAAAAAATAATATAAGTCTTAATTCGCAATTCGCGAGAAATGGAAAGAAATTATTAATGGTCAGCGGGACAAACTTTAAAAACATTATATCTTCCACTTACCCATCCAAATTATGCGGGTTTTTTATATCATTGGATAGGTTGAGTTAAGAGCTTTTAAACAAGCCTAAAATCGCATAAATCCAATCACTAGAAGCCAAGATATTACATTTCAAAGATTTCATCCTGAAATTTTTATTGCATTTTCATAATCCTGAGCCGGAATTTGAATTTTGACCTATTTTGACTAATGTTTTGAATTTTAAAAAGTCTTAACCAAATCCTTGCATTGTCGACCATATTCAAATTTAAAATCATTGAATTATTCCTAAAATTGCGAATTCTAAATGAGAGCAATTCAACAAGTACATAGTAAAAATGTGGCGATCATTTTATATATAAAAATTCAATTTTATGATCTCAGCTCTCATTTAGAATTCGCAATTTTAGGAATAACTTAATGATTTTAAATTTAAATATGGTCAATAATGCAAGGATTTGGTTAAAACTTTTTAAAATTCAAAATGTTAGTCAAAATAGGTCAAAATTCAAATTCCGGCTCAGGATTACCATAAAATACTATGAAAATGCAATAAAAATTTCAGAATAAAATCTTTGAAACGCAATATCTCGGCTTCTAGTGATTGGATTTGTGCGATTTTAGGCTTGTTTAAAAGCTCTTAACTCAACCTATCAATGATATAAAAAACCGCATAATTTGGATGGGTAAGTGGGAAGATATAACGTTTTTAAAGTTTTCCCCGCTGACCATTAATAAATTTCTTTCCATTTCTCGCGAATTGCGAATTAAAGATTATTATTTAATAAAAAAAAAATAATAATTTTTCGATTTTGGAAAAAAAACCAAATCTAAAGAATAAAAACGAAAAATTTTTAAAAAAAGAAAGGAAAAGAAAAAGGTGTTCGAAAGAGAAAAGAGGAAATTTTGAAAAAAAAAAAGAAAGTACCATTTGTAAAAGATCGGTTCAAGAAAAAAAAATTAAAATTAAAAAGCGGAAAACTTTAATTTCATTATCTAAGATGTACAACATGACTTGCCGATCAAGCGGGTCTTAACTATAAGGAATACGGATCAGCAATTCAAAATTAATTTATACAAGCTAATCTAAACGTTAGTCACACAAACACCATTTTTTTAATTATAAAAAAATATCTTTTAGCGCTAAAATGATTTTAAAGGGAAGTTACGAAAAATTTCAATAAAAATGTCGAAATGTATCATACGCTAAGCAAATGAGGCAAGAAAAAAAATAAAATCTGATATAGAGGCTAAGACGATAAGACTAATAGTTATTATAATCGGAAATTTTGTGATGCACTCCAATTAAGAATCGTAAAATATGAATCCTGGTGGATAAATATGATTCAAATTTGAAGCCGAACGACTTTGATATACGGAACATAACTCCCAAATCTCTTAAATTCATACTTTTTTCCCAAGGAAAGTCCAGTATATCCAAGTCTGTTTTGAATTCACCGTACCTAAAATCCAAGTCCAAGTTCATCTAAAAATAAAAGAAAATTCCAACACTTCTTTTAAAAGTCTTATCCTGGTGGAAAGCATTTGCTTGCTTTGACTAGTTCGATTATAGCCTAAGACAAATTTTTGTATTTCTAAGTTAAAGCTTCAGATTCACCGCGCCCAAGAAACTGACGCAAAAATCGAAGACGATCTTAGTTTTATCTAATCATAATCTTATAAAATGTGGAAATATTTTTAAAAAATATGTGCATATTAACATTAAATAAGAATGATTTGTTGTAAATAAATAAAAACATTGTCAATTAATAGCATTAAAGGTCAAGAGCGGTAAATCTAAGTAATTAACACGGCTGATCACAATATTATTGGCTTGTTGCAAGTCTATGGTGTGCGTCCTTGAATCTTAAAGCAAAAACATTTTGTAGTTTAATTTGGTAAGGATTTTAAAGTGTCTAAAAACGTAATTTATATATATATACTTATTCTGCATAAAAATATTCAACCAATCAATCAACCCAATTTTGGTTATTTTTTATGCAGGTCGACCGTCTATCAGTTGTTAATTACACAACATAAACCGATCTTTGTTTAAAATGCTGCATCAATTGATTCTCTCATTCTGGATTTTCTTTATAATGCCACTATGAATATTTAGGTATTATTAAAAACATAATATGGTCACTTTTTTATTTGAATTGTATTAGTCCAACTTCGAATGCAATTTGTGGTTTGAAATTCGTCTTTCCTTTATTTCTGAAACTAGTATTCAAGTAGATCAGCACCAAATAGGCAATTATCGTCAGCTCTACTATAAATTTTTTTTTATTAATTATTGTTTTGATGATTTTTTCTTTGTATTTATTAAATTTATGATTGAGTGATTTGAATGATTAGTATTTCAAACCACCGAGAAAATTACACTTTAATGAAGCTATGATGCAATATTTATTATTATTTTTATTACTAATAACTAATTATGTCATAATGCTAAACTGATGATATTGTTATTAAATCATAATTATTATAAAATTTTTTTATTATTTTTAAGAGCACAAAAAAATTTTATAATGAGTAACTGTTCGGCGAGGGCTTTGGGATGGGATTACAGTAATGTACGGTAGTGTTGCGATCCGGATGAATCTGTCATCCGTTCAATCCGGTCCGAAAATAAATTGGATGATCCGGATGAAAATTCGATTTACATAAGACCTGGGACAAACTAAATTTTTGAACCTGATCCGCCGATCCGCCGATCGGTATTTTTAGCCGGGCACGTGATCCTGATTTGATAGTTTGATTTGTAAAATAAATAACAACTGAACCGGATCGGTGGGTCGGCGGTCGGGTTCAAAAAATTTATTTTGTCCCAGGTCTTATGAAAACAGCTGTAATCCGAATGAAAAAAAGTTATATGTACGATCCGGATGATTCGGATCTAATCCGTTAAAACATAGAGATAACGGATAACGGATTAGTCCGGATGAATGATCCGGATGATCCGGATGATTTTCGAATCGGATAAATCCGCGGATTGACGGATTGACGGATTGACGGATCGCAACACTAAATGTACGGACACCTAATAGTTACCGAGAAGACGACTCGTACATTCGGTAAAATTCGGTAAAGTTCAGAATAAGGTCCATATTGTTAGATTCGGAGCACTGGTCCGAGCACGGTGGTGTAATTTTAATTTTATTCTGAATTATACCGAATCTTACCGAGTTTGGAGTAAAAATGATGGGTGTCCCGTACATTATGAAATCAGCTGTAACGGTTGAGACACTTAGCAAATTTTAAAGAACTCGGAAATGTTCTGATATAAGATAAAAATTATACGCTAATTTTGGAGTACTATTCCGAGAATGGTGGTATAATTTTATCCTATTGTGAACTTTACCGAATATTTCCGAGTTCTTTAAAATTTGCTAAATGTCCCGTACATTAAGGACCGGGAAATCTTTACTATATATCCCCGCCACAATAACATTCGGATATTACTATAAATTCAAATAATGTGGATTCGAATTGATTTATATAGTCACCAGTTTTTATTAGATTCGCAAAAAAAATTGATTACCGCTTAAGGCTTAGATTCGCACATTAACATATTACAAAAAAAGTAACCGCCCATTAGTTTGATTCGCAGTTATATATATTTTTTTATGGACCCCCGATTATCATTTGATTCGAAATTTTTTCTGATCTTTAGTATTTTTTGATAATGTCGCTTCTTATGACTCGCTTTACCTCTTTTGATAACTTTCAAAAATTTATTAGTACTAAAAAGTTCTTTGTAAATGTGGTATAACTGTTTCGCTTGGTGCTATATATCAAGTTACTAATTTCAAAGACATTTTCAAAGTATAAACTGTGATTATTATTTAATTAACAACCAAGCATAAATATCTTTTTCTCAAAAAGCATATCAGAAAATGAAGAAAATAGGAATGATGAAGGAAGTAACGATGAAAGAAATAGAAAACGAATTGCTGTTAGGTGTCAGGGTCTCTGTTATTTAGAGCATATTAATTATTTATAAATAGTCCTGCTAGCTTTGGTGGTAGAAAAAAGCCAGAAGTTGTAGCAAAACAACTTTTTCCAGAAAAGTTTCCAGAAAAAATTCTTTTACTAGAAAGAAACTTAATAAAGAACAACTAAAAGAATTTGAGAGAGCATTGGAAGCTGAAGAAGATTTAGCAGTATATCATGCACAATGTGAAAAAAGAACAACTAATGAAAGCTCTCTGTGTAATAAATAAGTGTGAAGAATTAAAGGGTAATAAAAATTTGGATGAAGCGCTTAATAAAGTTTATATTTTTTACTTTTATTTTTACTTTGATAAATTAACAAAAATATTTATTATTTAAGGAGCGGGCAACAAGTAGTACCGTTAATTTTACACCTCGTCATTATTATAAACAACTGTTATTAGAGCTTCTCAAAAATACAAATTTACGGCAAATTTGGGCTGCTACAAATAGTAAAAGTGATAATGCGGAATTTTGGACCAAAGTAGCTCAATTTGGTTAAGGTGAGCATTTAATGGAGATAAAACTTTCACTGAACTTGTGTTCTTAATGGTACAAATTAGAGGAAAAAAATTGTAGGGTAAAAGTTTGAAAGGACTTCGATACTCAGAGCATTTAATACATTTCTTTAGTCTGTTATCTGAAAGTAGCCGTGAATACAAAATCTTTAAGAAGACTTTTGCTGGACTTTCAGTTCAAAGAATTCGGTAATTATTATTTATTTATTTGAATTTATATAATAAATTATTATATAATTATCTAAATTGATAATTGATTAACTTTTGAATAATAGACAAATTCGTAGAACAGATTCCATTGTAGTTACTAATCCTGATTTAGTGATAGAAAACTTTATGAAGTTTTCACAAATTGTGTCAAGTCTTAATTAGAGATTATAGCCATGACAGATTCTACGAAATCACGAAAAAAACTTGTATATGCTGAAGAACTTAACCATATTGCTGATTTGCTGGAAACCTTACCACATTCAGAAACAACTATTGCAGTACTTGATGATGTTCATCAAAAAATTAATCATATTAGAGAAAATGATGCAATTGCTACACAAGTTCGTGGTATAGCATTGAAGGTTAATAATCATGAAATATACAGATTAATTTTAATAAAATATTAATTAGTTATATTTTTTTCTAATTAGATTCCTATTGGGAAAGTTGCATCAATGATAGTAGCAATGATTCCTACTAGAGGTGATGAGGGAGCTGATCAAATTGCACACTTAAGTAATTGAAATGGCACATGTAGCAAATTTGAACATTATAAGTTTTGGAGCTGATGGTGCTAGATCTGAGTTTAATGCACAATCAATTATTAGAAATGAAGCATCGAATTTCTTTGAATATAAAGATTCTTTATAGAAAATTCATTTTAAAGCAACACTATATAATGATAAACCATTTATTCGAGTTCAGGATTCAAAACATGCAAAAAAGACAGCTAGGAATCAAATCTTTTCTGGGCAAGGCTTCTGTCACTTGGGATTGATATAGTTTGTTATGATCAACTTTTTGAGTTAGCACATCAATCACAACATTTTCTTTTAGAACGAGATGTTCTTAATGTTTACAAACAAGACGACAGAGCTGCATTACGTACTTTTCATTCAAATACTCTGATACAAATTTCGGTTAGTGGTACTTTAACTGATGACCTATTCTTATTAAGTAATTATTTTGTATCTTTTGTATCTTTTTTATTTTGATTTGATCTAAATATTTATTAAATACCGGTATGCCTTTTTATCTTTAGGAGAATTATGTGATGCCTATTTAAATAGGACAATTGATCATAAAACGCGCATTGAAATGGTATTACGTGCTTATTTTTTTTTTAAACATATGGAAGGACTATATTAAACGCTGTAGTACACAATATTCAATGAAATGGTATAGCTTACAAAAAGTTTTATCTCAATTCAAAGTTATGATATTTTTATTAGTATGGAGTCTTTGGTAATGCTTGTAATAGCACCATCGTGCAATATCCTTTATTTCCATGGGAACATGGAACTGAAGCTTTGAAACATACATTTGGGATTTCACGAAGAATACTTCCTGATTTTAATTTTTATGAGTTTTTTAAAGATACAACAAAGAGTTTCATATAGGGATAAAATTTCACGAGCAGGAATAATTGATACTAATAGAGACCGTAATTCTGCAGCAGGTAATTACAGTTCATTTTTTTATTTTAACTTCTAAAATACTTCAAATAATTTATAAGCAATAAATATATTTTTAGGCTATATTTTTGATATAGATGGAACGTCACTTCCACATAAAATAATTGAAAGACTTCGCATATGGCCTGCTACTGATGATATACAAGAATGTACCAGAGTTGCATTTAATGAAGCTTTGTCATTAACAAAATATATTCATACAGTTTATTATGAAGAGAAATTATTTTCCTAATAAATTAATATTAAAATTTTTAATCATATTGTTATTAAGATTTTTTTCAAAAATAATCGACGAATCATCAAAAAGAGTAAAGTAAATAACAATGATATAGATAATCATGAAGAATCCTCAATTTCTGAATTTATTGCACATATAGAAAAGATGACAGATGTTATATACGATGAGGAAGATAACCAACATAATGAATTAAATGGTAAATAAATAGAATTATATTTAATTAATTAAAGCAATATTATTTTAATTACAATTTATTAATTAATTATTATGTAGAATTAATTAATACTTCTGATGAAGCTAGTTTAAATCGTTCATCCATAGTTGGCAATGCAGCTTTAGAAATATCACGTATATTATCAGATTCACAGAATGAAAATGATCAATTATATGAAGAAAATTCGGATGATGATGAAAATGAGGAAATAATACAACAACTGCCATCATTTGGAGAATTTCCTGATATTCAATATATTATACAACATTCTCGGCCTATACCAATTACTTTCACCCATTTCAACAATTTTTTTACTGATGATATTTTGAATATTATAACTCTTTTACAAATTCATCAATGTCATGATGCATTTTCGCGTAATTTGCAATCAAATTCACATCAAATAGTAAATAGAAATAATAATCAAATACAAGAAATTAATGGAAATGCTGTTAATGAGCTTATTACCGAAATAACAGCTAACAATATTGATAAAATCAAAGAAGAAGACGACGGGAAGGAAGGAAAAGATTAGGACATTATCTAAAAATTATAATTTAGGTGATTGTTACATTTTTATTTTGTATTGTAAAAATTTATTTTATTAATTATATAATTTATTTATAACAAATCTTGGTTTGGCCAATGTTTCTGATATTAATCCTTTATACAAAAATGGATTCTTAATAGTTTATTCCAATCATATTATATTGGGGTATCTAATATCAAGCTAACCACAAACATATTAGTAGCTGCATAATGAAAATCATTAGTGAAGATTTTTTGCGATGAAATTTCGAAATTTTTTTTACTAATAAATTACTGCTAAAAATTACTTTTGCGAAAAATTTTATTTCTTGTGATCTGACAAGTTTTTATTACTTTTAACCTTATTGAATATAATTCTTTGAACATGTTTTTACTTAATTAGAGAAGCAAATTTTAATAATTTAACTTTGTTGGCAATCTGGGTATATTTTTGTGTATTATTTAAACTTTATACTATAAAGTTTAAGCAAGCTTAAATCAACTTAATAATAAAAGCAACTTATCTTTCTCTTTTAAAATTTAAATTTAAAAATGAGTCGAAATAGCAAACGAAAAATACAATTAAAAAATATGCGCCAAAGGAAAAATTTTCTAGGCTATCGTCACAAATTAATGTCAAATATTTGCAGCAAGATATAGTGGACCAAAATCAAAATACTTTCGGTTTACTATTTCTTTGACCAGTTTAATAACTTCGCAAATTCGGATGGACAAGAGCCATGGAAATTTCCATTAGTTTATGAAATTCATAAAATATTGAATTTACAGCATTGTAATCCACCAACAACAACTCGAAGGTTTATTTAATTGCTATGGTATTAAAATACACCCGAATATGGGCACAAAATTTTAACAAGCACGAATCCAAATTTCTGGTATTAACAATAGAATTGAGAAAGTAACTCAAGACAAACTTCATCATATTCGGAAAGAAATGAGAAATTCTAATAGAAGAGATAATTCTTTAGAAAGTTCATTAGAGAATGCACAAGATATCTTAAATACTTTCTTAGTTTGGCGTAAAAAATAAATTTGCAAATATTAAATATAACTAAAATTTGCTTCTCTAATTAAGTAAAAACACGGTCAAAGAATTATATTCAATAAGGTTAAAAGTAATAAAAACTTGTCAGATCACGAGAAATAAAATTTTTCGCAAAAGTCATTTTTAGCAGTAATTTATTAGTAAAAAAAATTTCGAAATTTCATCGCGAAAAATCTTCACTAATGATTTTCATTATGCAGCTACTAATATGCTTGTGGGGTTAGCTTGATATTAGATACCCCAATATTATATGTTTGGGAAAAAGTTATTACAATGTAGTGGACAACGACATGTATGATTGCATGGGTTGAAAACCAGCAGGATTTTTGGATAATTTATTAAGATTTATATGCAAGTGACGCATCGCTTTTTTTCATGTGAAAATTCAATAGGAGTAGGGATTGGAATCGATTCTACCAAAATCGAATTAATCGAAAATCGAATCGTATCTAGTAAAATCGATTAATTGAATCTAAAAATCAAATCTCAATAAATCAATTATTTTTATATTATGGTGCAATAAAAGTAGTCATGTCATTTCTATAACTACGTTATGGTAAAAAGGAATTATCAAAATTGCTGAAAAATGATCAACATTGATGATTAACATAAATTTCACCATTAAAATCTTAATTCCTTAATTCCGGCCAGAATTAAGTGATCGGCATAAAATTTCCATTTTTGGAAACCAGTGTAACAAAAATTTCGTGATCTTCCGAAATTTCCGGGGAGCAAAATTTCCTTTTTTGGAAATTTGTGTAATGTCACGTGACTCCGACGCAATTATAAATTCGATTTAGATTCGATTAATCGAAAATCGAATCGCCAAATCGAATCTTTAATCGATTCTTAAGATTCGATTTTCGATTAAATCGATTCTAATCCCTAAATAGGAGATATTACAATTCATATTACTCCACATGAAGTGGTTTATTTTTGGGTATGCGTTCATATACAAATGTAGAAAATCACTTAATTTCAGTAGATGATGAAACTATTTCTATTTTTTAATTCTCCTTCTTCACGTGATTTTCTCTTAAAAGTTTTTGATAAATAAATAAAGTGGTTGATAAACAATGATTCGCATTACTATTAACTTTTTTAAGGTGTTTGTAAACTGATTCGCTTGATTATAAAAACCTGATTCGCAAGATTAAGATCAGGTGCCTGCTTTGGCGGGAACAATAAAGATTTTCCGACCCCGGTTAAGCGAATTCAGTTATTACGTTAACTCCGGAATTGGAATTTTTGACAAATAATGACATCGTTTTATCTTTGACACGTTTTTCTTCTCTTTCAAATTTCTTTAACTATGGCCCCATAAAAAATTTTATCCGTTATTTCTGAAAAAACTCCGTAAAAATAAGCCTTTCACGATCCATTCACGGAAAATGTGAATAATTCGATAAATTCCGTGATTTAAGGTTATTAATTCTGGAAATGTGAGCCTTTTACGGAAAAGATGGAATATAAAAAACGGATCGACTTTTTTACGGGTGGAACTTACAAAAATTCTTTAAGAAAAACGCTCAAGAGAATTTAACTAATAAAAGATAACCACTTTATATTGTCCCGGTCTGTCATTGCTAATAAACAATATAACTTTACAATTTCTTTTTAAAATTTTCTGCACATGATATAATTTTTACATGTCAATGCCAAATGCTTTTTAATTTCATTTAATAATTTTTGGCATTCCATAACTACATGAAATAAGGTGAAAAATCTTATATGCATACAATGTGTACTCATTTTTTACATTAATAAATATGTAGTTTTTTTTAGCTTATTCTTTCTTGAGATTTCTACATGTATTACTTTTACACAGTTTGTAACGTTTGTGTATTTTAATTTCAACTATGAGCATTCATCGATTTTCTGTATGAAAATCTTACCGTCTGGAGCGTAGATCACATGCAATGTCTGTCCACGACTTCACGCGCGTGTGTTACCAATCGCATTACTTGATCGCTTGTTATTTAAAAAAATGTAATTACAATAATTTTTAAATTTTAGATATTTTATATTTTAGTGATACACTTTTGAACGTTTCAGACTCCAACGGTTCCTGTTACCTAGTTTAGCATTCAATTTAAAATTACATTATCAATTGTTTAAAATGATGAAGCATAAAATTAAAATAATTTACGAAGAAATATTGTACATGAAAATTTTTTTATTCCCAATTTTATAATCAATATCCAATATAATTGTAATGGTTTTAATGATACAAAAATTAGATTTTTCCATATTTATGGGTTAAGTAAAATCTTTCTGCTGTATTCATCGATGTGCTTGAAAATGATAACTCATTTCGTTATTAAGCGTTGGAAATTGGAATCTAATTTATAAATTAATATAATGGATTTGTTTATCGAATTGCAGGTATAGTGATGTCTACACCACCTCCTCCAGCTCATATATTTTTAACCATCTCTAATCTTTGTTTTTTGGGTTTTTCTTTATATTCCTGATACAAAAGTATTCCATTATCTACAGAAATTAGATTGTTTGTTTCGACTAGTTTGAGCCAACATTCATAGTTGGCTGTATTCATTCTAGCCAAAGAAAAAAAAGTAACATCTCACCTCCCATCTCCACCATCTTCACCACCATCACCATTTCCTCCAGCACTTCCATCACTAACGCCACCAACATCTGCTGAACGCAAATGGGCATTTATAACAGTATAGCCTTGATAACCAATGATGTTCACTGAATTTCACGTGATTTTTTAAAATTTCACGACCAATACTAATCATGCATGTGACTCCAATTGAAGAGAGTACCGGTTTATTGTTTTTGTAAAAATCTTAAATTATTACATCAGGAAAAATCCACATGGAAATCCATATCAAATATTGTGGAAATATGAATAGTTCCAAATACCCTGATATATGAGAATGTATGGAATTCCTGAACTAATCTATATGGAATTATATGGGTCACCTAAAAATTTCACGATGAATGCATTACTTTATTGTCCGAAGCAGAGCGGAGGACATCAAATGTTCGTCCATCCGGGCACGTGATCAATGATCTGCATATATACGTTCAGAACGACGTTCCAATCGTTCCATATATATGATTACTATGTGATATTTTAAATAATTTCCTTGGAGATAATGTAAAATAGTTATTATGAATATTATTATAGTATCCATTTATTACATTTTGTGAATTTGTATTAATCGTCATTCTAGGTAAAACTAAAATTGTAGTAAGAAGATAGAGCGAATGTTTCTGATTTATTTGGTGATGGTCAATACTCTGTTGTCAAAATAAATTGATGTTCTATTCGACCATTTTTGACTATAATAAAACGAACAATGTTCCTTACCAAGGTCGTGAACTGAACCGTCTGTATATATCTCAATTTGTTCTTCTATTCCAATCTTTCATATTTGATTGTAATAAATTATTTCTATTGTGTGAGCTATCAACTAGTTTATAATCATGTTATTATTAAAAATTTGTCTTTCGATGCGATCATTGTATGTATCAATTATATGTAATCGACTATAATTAGACTGACCGGCGAAACTGATAAGATATATCATTCAAGTCGATAAATTAAAATTTATTATTTTCGTCGTTAAGAACCGCATTCATCATTATATGACAATTTTTTGTTGTAGATTGTGTCGTATAATTTGTCAAATCACAACTGTTACATAGTTTGCATAATTGTATTATTTGCTGTTGTATGTTCTTGTATAATATTTAAATGTTGAATTACAGAATTATGTGTTCCGTCTATACCTTCCCTATAAAAAATTTTTTAAAAAATTGATCACATATCGGAGTTTTTTTGGAATGAAAACTAAAAAAAATGATCATTTATCGGAATTTTTCCCAGAAAATTTTTTATAGGGCTTGTTTCTTGTCATAAATTTTCAATTCTATTGACTTAATAGCGGAATTCAAGAAATATATAAATTGTGAATCTCTCTTATAAATATTTTCTTTGTTGAGCAGGATGATATCAGTTCTATTGAAATTATCGCATTTCGGCATTTGTATTCCCAATATTCCGGTTTAGTTTATAATTTGGCTCACTAAGCGTTACTTTCTCTTTAACAATGTTATACCACGTTAATTGAACATTTTTGTAAAATATTTTTTGTAAAATATCAGTTAGTTATTATGTATACATTACAAATAGCGATATATATTATTTGGCAGACCAAATTATTGCGTAATCTTGCAACGCACAAGTATACCAAAAAAAAAACAAATGTCGATCAGATGCACAAACGTCATCGAGACACACATGTTTATGTTTATAATGCAGGACTGTATAGAAACAAAGTCTCTCATAATTTACAAAATTATTTTATTGCCGCACAAGATTTAAAAGGAAGTTCTCTTTGTTTAATATCTTGATGTAATCCATGTGGATAAACTATGACCATAAATATCATTTGATCCGAAGATCTATTGGTAAAAAGGTTACACAAAAAAATTGCGTGCATCAAATTAAAAATTAAGTTCGTGATACGTAGACAGAACAAAAACAAAAATATATTGAATTCACTTCTATATATGTATTTTTTCTTATTTTAATGAGTAAATGATTTTAATTCGTCTTTTAGATTTTACAACCATTCTTTAACATTCAATTTGTATAAAAAAAAAAATACGTTCAATAAATATTAAATGTTTTGTATTATACCAATTTATTTTTGAACTAAATAGCTGAATGAATACATAAAAACTATTACATTTAAACATTTTTTAACAATAATTGAAAATAAATTAAATATAGATATATCGTAATAATCAAAACTATGCGCCAGACGACTTTCGATTTTTAGAAGATCTATAAGCAGAGAAAAGGATGCATAGTTAATCCAACAGGTTTGTTGTAGAATAATATACCATATATATATATATTGACAATTTCAAAAATATTTACTTGAATTTATGAGTAAATTAATTTTTCGCGTCATCACATGGCGAATTCCATATCTAGTGACATTAAATTTTGTTGTAAGAATTGTTCAAAACCGATGCCTGATACTTCCGAAGTTATATTATCTGATCGAATTGGTTGATAAATTAACGAGGAAGTCATTTGAATCGGCTCATGTACAATTCCTACATACAATTTCCTCCTAGTACAAGCAATACTGATAAAAATTATAGAATTTTAAATTTTAATAAAATAAATGACAGCAAAGACAACAACAAAAATTTAATTTGTTTACCTTTTTAATGCATCGATACTCCATCCAAGGTTTGGTTCACAAGCGATCTCAAGATCTGATATTGACGTACGACGGAGACGGAAAAATTGCCAACGCTTGTTCATAAAGTGAGGAAATGATGATTCAACTACATTTTTTATTCCAATATTTGAATCTTCAGTAAAGCAAATTGATTTCATTTTACCCGATTTTTTAACACTTTTAAAATTTTATATTATGGTAAATTTTAATAATAATTGATAAAATTGATAAGAAACTGAAACAAATAACAAATGAAAATTATATGTATGTATATTTACTCTCTAGGTACTTTTTGGTTTGGTTTTTCACCAACTATATTGATCAACTTGAAAGTAATATTAAACTTTTTGTGTGAATAGATTTTATTTTTACAATTATTTTTCAAGTTGGCAAAACTTTTCGATGTTTGGTGTTGATTGATTTCATGATAGTTCAGATCGTGTTTACAGGCTTTGCATGAATGATCATTAATGGACTGGACACGAGATCTAAGACATCCACATTTAACACCAGTTTGTAAATTTCGGTAATTACACTTTCCATATGTCATATTTCTTTTTTTTAAAAAAATGACGGAATTTGTTGTTATCGTTAAGTGAGAAAGAGGAAAAAGGGTTTTCAATGTCTTTATATTTTAATTTTTCACGGTTTTTTTTTTTTTGATTGACGATCAAAATACTTGATTTGAATAAAAAAAATTTTTCAAACGTGCAGATCAAACGTTAACGTCAGTTAGCACTTAGCAGTAAAACAACTTGAAACAATATAAACATTTAGCATATGACTTGAATTCACTTTTGTAGTTTCATGATATTCTGTTGATTTCGAAACCATATAAAAAATTTCATCTATTATTTCCGTAAAAACTCCGTAAAAATGAACCTTTTACGGAAAATGTATAAGATTCGGCAATATAAGATTATTAATTCCGGAAATATGAGCTTTTACGGAAAAAAGATGAAATATAAAAAAACGGATCGACTTTTTTTTTTTTTACAGGGAAAACAAAAACCAATTGATTAAATAATGGAAGTGTTTAATCACCAAATATGAAAAACCCTTCTTTATAAATCACTGTTAAAACCCAGATACTTTTTTTATCATTCATTGTAATTTTCTTTATTTTTTCAGTGACAGCAACGTTAAATAAAGTAACTTTTATATTATAAACTTAGAGAAATTTTTATAAGGTAAGAAAGATTATTAGTATAAATATCCTGTCATATGATTATAATATTAGTCATTTTCCACCATTTGATCTAATTTAGGAAATATCCGGAGATATTCAATCAGAAAACACCGCTAAAAAAAAAAATCTCTTTTTTTTCATACAAAGGAGAAATTGTTTCATTTCAGACGAAGAATTAGAACAGAAACAAGATATTATCACGTTATTAATTTGGCTGAAGTAAATTTACTTATTATGTGATTAAAGTTTGAAACATGTTTAAGCTTAAAATAACTTTATAATGATGATATTTTACATTTATGCACGTAGCTAATACATTAAGAAATACTTTACTAAAAAAAAATTAGGTTACTGTTCGTAATACTTACAAATTACTTAACCCCTGGTTACCATGTCTTAATATATCTCTGCCAATTTTGATTGAAACTATAATAGTAATATTGGCCGGAATTACGTGTAAAAAAAGGTATTTCTAAAGTTCACTTTATTTGTATCATGCACAGATAAATTTCTAAGAAATTGGTGTCACAACAGCCACAAAAGTCATGTGTGCCTTGAAATGTTTCGTATCTGTTTCTTTTTCATGGATCTCCTTGTGTGCATCGTCAAAAAAAAAAAAAAAAAATCTTTTTTTTATTTAAAATAAAGTTTGTTTCATTCCAATCTTACATAGAATGAGAAGACGAAATAGAAGTAAACATTCCATGATTATCAAATTTGGCTGAAATATTTCTAATTATTATGTAATAGTAAAAAAAAAAAAAAAAAGTTAAAGTTTGAAACATGGTTAAGCTTAAACTTAATTTTCGCCAAATTGTAATATATGTTGTTTTTGTAGTTATGTAAATATAACTATTTTAAGAAGTACATTTACCTTCCTTATTTGAAATATCTATAGTTACGTAATTAAACACTCAAATATCCTAGCCTGCATTATAGTGATTTTGACCGGAATTATGGTGACATCTGATTACCATGCAAAAAGGGGGTTACTATGTTACAAAACACACCATCAAATGCAATGATTTTTATCCGAAATGACTGAAAGGTTAAATACGATTTATTCCGTATCTGTGATTTTATATGCATAGATCTGATTTTAATTAAATAATTTCGATGCTCAGTCCTGTTGATTATGTCATATACACACTGTACACACCAAAAAAAAAATAAAAAAAAATTTTTTTTTTCATTTATTCAAAGGAGAAATTGTTTCATACTTTATAAAGAACGATGTTCAAGGAAAACAAAATGGAAGCAAAAACATTCCATGTTTATAAATTTGGCTGAGCCTTCTTTTCTTACCTATTATGGAAACTGTAGTGTAATAAAGTTAAAGTTGAAACATTTTAAAGCTAACATCAAAATAAAGTAATGTTGCTTTAAATTTATGCATAAGAAACACACATGAAGGAGTATCACGTTATTCCGACTTTTATTTGGAAAAAAAAAAATTATTTGTACAAACTATAAAACAAAAACCATGTTATTATTTGTTTAAAAAATTCATACAACAAATTTAGTTCAATGAATATACGAAAAAAGATAAATTTTTTTTTATAAATAGTTATGGGCAAAAAAGGTAAAAGGAACAACAAAGACGTTCATTTAACTATAATAGTATACAAAAAACAGTGAAACAGGTTTATGCTTACTGTAAATTAATTTTATAAATAATACACATTCTAGATTATCATTATTGTGATCATGTGGTTACATAAATGCTATGTTACGGTTACGCGTAATCATAACAAACCCTAAAATTATTCGCGCTGATCAAAAAAATATTGCAGGGAGTTTAAATAGGGTTATTAGATCATTTGACATGCATATCCATGCTTATTTAATTTCATAAATTATCTTAAATTAATATATTATTATATTCGTTAGTTTCGTTCAAACCCTACAAAAAAAAATTCTGGAAAAAACTCCGATAAATGATCATTTTTCTAGTTTTTTATTCCGAAGAAACTCAGACATGTGATCAATTTTTCTGAAAATTTTTTTATAGGGAAACATCAGTATTGAATTCACCGTTTTGAAATGTTTGATTTTTACAGTTAGCAGTCTTGCTGTAAGCGAAGGTCGAAGGACATAATAGCCCATTCACGTGATCGCCAGCCAACAAAATCGCAATTTTACCGTTTCCTAGTTTTTATTAAATAAATATATGGAGTTTATAAATTGACTGTTCTATCTAACACGGATATTATAAGGAAAAAAAACGTTTATTAAAAACATTTTATCATTTACGTCACAAGTAAAAAAAAAATACTCAAATTTAATTCATTTATAGCTTATAATCCTTACGCATTTTATAAATATTTTATTAAATTTAAATTACATGGAAATATAGAACAACTGAATATTCTGATATCACTCAATAAAATCTCCTGGAACGCTAAACTTGAAAAAAAATAAAGATATCGACAAATAAAAAAAAAAAAAAGAAAAAAAAATAAATTAATTAGAAATATCATACATTATATTATATTATTAAAAATTTATATTATTTGTAATTGGTATTAATTCATTCGAGTTATTTAAATCGGGAGAATTTTGAAATTGTGAGAATTGTTGATGTTGAAATTGTGGGAATTGTTGTTGATAAAATTGTGGAAATTGTTGTTGATGTCGTTGAAACTCCTGTTGAACCAGTGATGAATTCCAATAGGTAGTAGTATCATAGTCCTGTAATTGATTTTGCATGTCCAAATTGTTATTAGGTCTAACGATAATTTCAAATCCGGGAATTTCAAATCTAAAGTGGTTTATTTGATGAAAATTATGTACATTTTGAGTGAGATTTTGGGGAATTTGACCAGTATTCTGTTCATTAACATTATGATACGGTTCGTAGGTAGGATAGGATTGCATGGGGTAATTATGTTCGTTTGATGGAATAGCTGATGGAATAGATTGTTCGTAATCGGTAGTTGTATAGGGTGGAACCCATACATCATTTTCCGTTACTGAAAAGGAGTCATTAAACGTATTATATGAAATTTGTTGTTCCTTCATAAAGTAATCGTTAGACAAAGGATTGGAGTTAGTATGTGAAGGATTACTTTGGTCCATATTTATTTTCAGAATATTTTTTAGGATGGAACTTTTTAAAGTATTTTATAGTAATTTTTTTTATCTTTTATTACGCAATGTGAGTAATTAAACTTTCCTTTTTAATTTCATTAATTTCATTGATAAACAGATGAATGAGTGATAACTGATTATTATTAATTATTTTCTACAGATATTTCATTTAAAAAGGAGATTGGCAATTTTTTGGGGCAAACAAAAACGATAATAAATTAAAAATCTCATTGTTGATATTAAATATCAACAAAATAAATGAAACAAAAAAAATATTCCCACCAAAAAAAGTTGACTTTGTACGCCAATAAATCAAACTTACGTGTAACCATAAGTCTTTATAAAATTAGCAACTGAATAAAAAAAAATTCATTTCCACAATTATTAATAATTGTGGGCTGAGAAATCATGCAACCGTTTAAGTGGTTATTTATCTGTTAAAATTATCTGTTGATAATTTAAAGAGTAGTTAGAATATGACGACATTACGAAGTTTCTCACGGCATTAGAAAATGCCTTAAACTTTAAATATATGACACAAGATGTTTTGTTTGTTATATTCATGGGAGATTATATGCTTCAATGAATCAGTTAACCTTCTTTAGGATAATAAGAAATACCCATCTATAGTTATCTGTCAAGAGTTTAAATAACATCTGTTGGTGTTACAAATGCAAATAAGCCGATTAACTAAAATAAGGACATCGGAAAAATAATTTCCCGCAAAAAATAGAATAATTATTACAGAAGCAACAAAAAAGAACAGTTAAAATAAATATCTGTTACATTGCTTTTTTTTGTGGCGTACAGTGACTCATCATACATTTGTAATTAATTTATGTCATTATAATCCGAAAGTTTTACTCATTCTGTTGTATTTTTTTTTTTTTAAAAAAACGAGGGTCAGTTATTTGTCGACTAATTAATATCAAATTACTTAAGATATTCTCATGTGAATTAATATTTAAAGAATTTTTATAAGATTCATAAATTATAAAAATCATTATTGAATTTTATATTTTCTCTTGAATAATAAAATATATCCGGCGTTCCAACCGAATTTAATCTTTTTTTTTATGTATTGAACGAGAAATAACATAATATTTGAAATATTTGAATCAAACGAAAAATGAAAAAATTTTATTGGACGAGAGAATAATAATAATCTGTATATATTATTTCGATATTTATGGGATTGTGACTAACAATGTTACAAAAAAAAAAAAAAAAGTTTCACTTCTTTGTTAATTTTAGAAATAAAAAAAAATTTTTTTTTTTGTACTATACATATTCAATAAATATGGAAACTCTCTCCAAATAATGACCAAATATACTTCTTTTTTATATTTGTAGCCTAGAATATTCCATCTCTAAAATCTCTAATTAAAAAATAAATTTTCGGATAAATTTGATCAACAACATATTTACATGACTTATACCCTAACCTAAAAAGTGATATAAATAATAAAAATATTACAATGATACAAATATGTAATATGTATATATATATATATGTATTTTTTTTGTAAACATTTAATTAACTATAAAGGAAGAACTTCCTGGATTGGACCATCAGTGGTTCCAATATACAGCTTCTTTCGCGATCCACATATCCTAATAATAATTAAATAGAGTCAGATTTAATTATTATTATTTAAATAAACTTATTTATTTACCTCATTAGTTCATTTATTGACCACCCGCTAAGTGGTTCGTTGACCATTTCAAGACCCGATGCTGATGTACGTCGAAAAAATTTCCATCGTCTACCATTCAAAAACTTAAATAGCGTATGAACTTCATTTATGACCCCATTATTTGAGTCAAAAAAAGTAAATTTTATTAAATTTTTGTCTTCCAATTCTTTAGTCCTATTATATTAAAATATATATTATATATTGTTAATAATTCAATAAATATATAACAGGGTCCACGAAAACGACCCCTGCATCAGGTGTATAATGATTTTCATTGCAATGTAAATCATGCAGGTAACATTTAATTAAAACACAAATTGAAATTTTGGTTTTCATTCGCTTTTTTTCATTATTAATATTTTTTTTTTTATAAAAAAACTTTTGGTTTAGTATACTTACTTTCTAGGAATTTTTGGAGTTAAATTTCCCCAAGGAAGACAAAAAATTTTAAAAGGTCTTTTAGTACGTCTGTTTCTTGTAGTGAGCGGTATTTCTACACGGTTAACTATTTCATCTACGTCAAGTGACGTATCATATTCAACTACCGGCTGAAGGATTGGATGATTTTGTAATATTAGTGTATTTAATGTATTGATATTTAATAAAGAAAATGGTAATGAGACGTGTTGACATTCAAAACAAATTCTCCTGCAATAACATGTACGTCTTGTAACTGGATTATATTCGAAATTTCCGGTAAAGTAAGACATTTTTTTTTTAAAGAATGTCAAAAAAACTTTTTTTTTAAAAAAAAGAAAAACTTTGAAGGGGTTTTAAATAATTTTTTTTTCATATTTATTGCTAAAAAACCTTAACTACAATATGATTTTGTTTAATATTCATTAAAGTTTGCTATCTGCTTGAACTATCTGTAGATTTTCAGCAAAAGTTTCATGATACATTTAAACAATCAATTTAAATGGCTAAAAATTTTTTCATGTGAAAATTCCATTTTTTTTTTAAAAAAAAACGATCGGCTTATGATCTAAACAAAAAAAAAAAAAAATAATAATAAATTTTATTTTCACAATGTTTCTGTATGATAAAATATAATAAAGAAAAAGTAATAAAGCCAAAAAAAAAATTTTTTTTTTGTGTCAAGTTTTTTTACTATTTATATTTTTTTACGTTCTGGTTTTTATAATTTTATAAGCATAAAATAATAAATATTACGCGATATATTTAATCAAATTGAATTTTCTTAAAAGTTTGAGTAATGTAAACAACGCTCGTAACTTTAAATTTTCACATCAAAATCACCAAAACAGTATAACAGTTAAATTATCTGCGCGATAAGTGGGTAACAGGAAAGTGGGTTTCAGATCGAACTTATTATAATTTTCAAGACAAATAAATAAATAAATATATATATATTGAATTATATTACACAAGTTACAATGACACGACAGTTTTGATGTGCTATAGCATACATATAATTAGTAAAGTTACATTGGCTTTATTTACTATTCTGTACAGTAGTTATGCTTCTTCCGAATTGGAATTTTCACAAAAATTCACTTTTTTTTGTTATTAAGTATCAGCTGAACTTTTTGCAGACGAATATTTCATTTTTTAGGTAATTAAAATTTACTTAATAACTACTATTCTCGTGTGATTATATCGATTTACCTTTTTAAATTAATACTCGTGATATAAACGAATGATGTGATTCTTGTGGTTAACGATTAACTTATATCTTTATTCAACTTCTTTTAAAACTTCGTCTAATTATTAATAATCTTTATATTGTTTAAGAATTTCTGAATTAATTAATTTTGTTTGATTATATACATATATGTAATTTAATTTGATGTGAAATAAAATGAAAATATCATATTTGAGACTTTATTGTGGTGTGGGTCTTTTAAGTTCTGATTTAAAAAATTAATTTATTTCTATTACGGTTAGAATAAAAAATTTTATGAAAAGTCTTCTTTGACTATAATGTCAAATAATAAAACCTGATAAAGTTTATTTTCAGGTGACTGCTTTAATATGTTTGGATAAAAAAAAAATGGTATGATTTAGAAGGTATTATTAGAATTAGAAGAATCTAAATTAGAAAAAAAAAATCAAAAAGTTCTAAGAAGTTTTCCAAAGTTCTAAAGATAATCATATTATTCTACCTTTTTTTTTGAAACTTTTTTTTGTAATGAATTTTTAATTTTATGAAATTATTATTCTTTTTTTAGTATACAAGTGGTAAAATTAATTAATATTTATTTATCTTCATTATTATTTTTACTCCTGAATAAACATTGTGCCTTTTTGCTTTTTTTCTTTTTGTTTTTTTGTTTTTGATCTAGCTATCAAGTGACTCATTCCCATGTAATGACCAAATTAATCTCAATAAATGAAATTGTACAACTCTTTATTATGATCATATAAATCATACAGATAACTAAAAAAAGTATCCATCCCTTGTAAATGAATAAATAATAACAAAAAAGTAACAAAACAAATTGTTTCATTAGTGCCAATTTAAAATACTAAAACTACCGGATCGTCGGTTATTTTTTCTTCATTGTAAAGAGCCATTTTTGAATTGATTTACATCATTTACATCATGTTTGTTGGGTATACGAATACTCATGTTACATCATGTGCAATTGTGCATGCAAAACATTTAAAATTATAAAAACTTGAGAAATTTTTTAAATCCATTCCATTATTGGATTCAATTCTCAAGAGAATCATTATACTAATAAAAAAAAGAGAATTTCGATCAAATACATCATTTTATAAAATAATTTTCATGTATATTGTAATTTGGCGGATTCACGCGTGATACATTTTAAAGACGACGATCCGACCCAAACAGGGGGGGAAATTCATGTTCATAAAATTTTTATTTTCAGATGTTAAGTGCGTTGGCGTTTTGCAGAATCAAATCCCCTTAGTTGATTGTCAAAAATGTAATGTCCAATAAAAAAAACAAATTTCCAATTTAGTAGTACAACGAATATGTAATCTATATTTTGAAAAAGCCTAACTTTATTTTTTCAAATTAAATTTTTTTTTTTTTTTTTAGAAATCTTTGTATAAAATCATTTTTTGGAGGGTACCTAGTTTTTTGTTATTGCTTATTAGTTCGAACTTCGAAGTGTAACTATATAATTCTACACAAAGGTGATACGAATGTCCGGATGTCCGTGAAATTCCCAATTATTTCACTCATCTCAGGAACTGAACCTATGTTCCTTAGACAACAGGTTCGTACTTAATAATGGTTAGTTTTACCATTTATCCCGTTATATCCCACTATTTCGCGCGTGCCAAATAATTGGTCGATATAATGGCGAATTGTTTTTGAAATATTATATGCATTGTTGATTCTGTTAAGTACAAAAAGTTATTTATTGTATAATGTGAAAATTTTTTATATTGTAAATAATAAATAATTTGTAAATATTAATAATTCATATTAAAAGATTGATTCTGGAATACAGTCTTTTGACTTTTATGTTCTTCAGATCTCAATATATTTTACCATTTTATGTAGAAATACCATTAACTAAGATTTTTGTTATATGACTGAATGTATTATTGGCCAGAGGTTTACCAATTCTGAGATCTCTCAAGTGAAAGTTCGAAAATATGTGTATGACACGTTTTCCACAATGATGCAATTATTTATTTATTTAAAAAAAAAATAATAATTATAATAAATAATAATACTCTTTACAAAGCACAGAAAATTATTATAAATATTGTTAAATAAAGAGTCTATTAATTAATTTAACTCACTTTGCAATTGACGTTTTGACATCGTATTAAATTATTTTTTATATAAAAATAATAAAACATCCAATCTACATTTTCTAAGCGAGGTGATGAGGTGATAAATTTTCTTCAATCGCTTTTTTTATCTGGCCATTATAATCATCATGAAAGCAAATTTCTTTTTAAACCAGCTTTCTCCAAACTTGCACAACTAAATTTTTTTTTTTTTAAGAAATAAATAAGTTTTTTAAATAAACTTAAATATAATCTTTCTATTTTATCACATACAGTATATACTTACTTTTTCAAACTTATCGTTTGTATAAGATGCGACGTTATTTGATGGGGCGTCCTTAACGTACAGTGAGGGTGTACGATATTAACGTACGAACTGGCCTGAGTTTGGGAGTCACACGCGATAGCGTTAACGTTAATTCCGGCCAGTTCGTACGTTAATATCGTACACCCTTTCTTTACATGATTAAGGAACTCCTAAATTTTGTTGACCGGAAAGTATTGGAATTAGTACTTGATAATATATAATTGGTCGGGAAACAAAATTTTGTTCAACTATATATGCAGAAATTGATTTAGCATGTTATGATATTGATTTTTGAGGTTCAATATGTTGTTGAAAAACAAGATGATAGGTTGCATACTCTGCTAATCTGCGTGACGAACGGGAATAGTTGCGGAGTATTTTGATACATGGTCTCGTCCGAATAAAGAATTACTTGAGGTTCAAACAATTTTTCAAAGTTTTGTTAGACAGGAATATATAATAGGGACCGTATATTGACTGTACTTACTATTTAATAGTTAATCCGCAAATTACTACATTAAATTTTTAGTCTCTGTGTAAGACATCATGTGATGTCCAACATCCTTTGCATAAACCGTCATCGTCAGGCGCATTTTTTTGAACACACCTTAAAAAAGACACACTTATACCTATTGTAAAGATTTGTAAAATGACATCTTTTAAGAGTTGACATGGTTTTTTTTTATTTTTTCATTTTTTGTCTTTTAAATGAAAACCGTGAAATAATTTGAAGTTTTATTTTCGTGAACCTTTGAATATATTTTTTTCTCGAATTTTTTAACTAACCTTAATAATAAGTACTAACTATAAATTGGGTAAACCGATATATTATTATAGTCTATATGATTCCTTAAATGCTTGGTAATTTTTCACAATACATAAAAATTTATAAATTTTCAACGAAATCACCAAATTTTTTTATTTATTTGAAAACCAATCTATTATAGGTTTTAAATTTTAAACAAAAAGAGGACATTTTAAAGTATAAAAAAAATTGTTTGATCGCATTGATCGCACGTAAATTATTAAGGTTATTTTATATATTTATTTGCAATATTTAAATAACGTATGTATGTACAGTATATGCAAATAAATATAAAATAATCTCAAAAAATTCAAAGATTTTTGTAAGTTACTTTATATTTAATGTGCATTTTATTTAATTATTCTTTTGAACATTTGCTCCTATAAATGTGATTAATGGTATCGTGTTCTTTGTGTATCACAAATCAAGCTGTTAATCCGTTACGTCGTTACGACTATGTAACTGGAGGAATGATTGCAGATAAAAATCGTTGCGGTACGGGAGGAATTCTAACTAAAAATATGCAGCCCCCCCTTCGGACTAATAAATGATACGTGTAAATCGTGTAATCACAATTTTCAGCGCTGATCACAGGGGACTCAAAAAAAATATTGCAGGGGTTTAAATATGGTTATTAGATCGGATAGAACAATGAATTGTGAATATTTAATATCAATGCTAATTTTATTATATTCGTTAGTTATACACGATTCGTTCAAAATTAGTACCGATCATATTAATTTTATATTTGCCGTTTGAAAATCGTTGAAATTTTTTTTTCATTTTTTTTTTTTGATAATAGCCGATAAGATAATTTTTAGACTGTTTAATTTAAGTTCCATATATTCATTTCTGTAGAT